GGCTAACGCTCCACTCCACTCTTTGCAAAGAAAATGCAACATTGGACTTTTCTCTCATTTCCTCTGTGCACCTTTGTGACTCTCAACCCTGACCGCTGCTGAGCTACGGAAAATGTAATTCTACTCCCGGTGACTTAGGTGCTGTAGGACAAGGTCTTTGTAGGATCTAGTGTGAGAGATGGAGTCAGACCACATGCTCAGTTTTACCTATTTGGACCACTGTACAAGTGGTGATTACACAGAATGGTTTGTTTCTCACCTAGACCATATTATTATCATAAAAACAAATGTTAAAAAGCTTATTTGACATTTCCATGATGATTTCTTTTGGAAATGACTATAATGAATTATGATTGCTTACTGCCAACCTGTTAAATGTCAGGGTTTTCGAGGACTTCATTCTGGGAGTGCAATGAATGCAATTGAACAAAAAACGAACTCAAACATTTAAATGTCGGGTTATGCCATTGGGAAATGACTTTGGAGGAAGATGTGATGCTGGAGAGTTGCTGAACTCTGTGTTCTGCCCCGGCCGTGGTGCTGCTGAAGACTGAAGAGTCAATCTCTACGGTTCAATTTTCCCTTTTCGACCCATCTAGGTTCAATCTCATGGCTCTGCCTCCTTCATGATAGACCCATATATCCTATTGAAGCAATAATCTTACATTTCAGGTGACTCATTTTATTTCAAAATGATTCTCAGTTCAGCCATAGCTCGGTTTGGGCAGTAATCCGGTGCCATCTTGATCAGAAATTAATTAGTCATAGCTCAGAATTTTTGATCAAAGAAAAAATCTACTGAAGGGGGCTATTGAAGGGGCCTTCGGTATGTTTGTTCAATACAGGAACAGCATCACCTGTCTTTGGGTCAAGGAAATGCACATAGACTGCCCTAGTCACCAGAGAGCAGAATCTGCCTCACCAGGCTCTGCACACAGCACAGTGATCGAAGTACAGAAGCAAGATGAGGACAGTTTGCAGCTTTTCTTTGCTCCGGCTTTGGCTTTAGGTGCTGAAACGCCACTTATTCTACCAGCCCACAGGGTTCTGAGGTGACGGCCCCCAAGGACACCCTGAGGGCAGAATGCTGCCCAAATCCCCTACAAAAAGAAATATTCACACACGTTCTTCCAACACTCTCCAATTTCCCTCGCTGCACATGTTGCATTCAACCTTTCTTACTATATGGAAGAACAAAGGGCTGCCGGTCACAATGTGACACGTCGCCTTTGTCATCGACCTCCACAGATGATGTAAATCCATTGACATGGCTATGGGCTACGAAGCTTGTTAGAGTACTGTCAATGACAGACAACTGAATTTCACTCATTATGCTGTGTTTGTGTTAGCACATAGACAATGGCTCACACTTAAACCATTACGTATCCCCTATTTAAACTACATTTAAACTAAATTGATGTTCCAATTTGAATTTATTCAGGTAGAATAATGACACAGGAAGATTGTATATTTACATATATATATATATATATATATATATATATTTTTTTTTTTTTAATCATCCCAGGTTTTATTATGCTGAGTCAATCACATCCTTTGCCTTGGGCTTCTGCCCCTTTCCTGCGCCACTCCTCTTGTGGGTGATTTGCAACTTCTGTGCCAGGCTTCCCTCACTTAAATGACTGAGCTGTCTTTTATACGTGGACTTATGGAGCAGTAGAACGTGATGACACCTCCAATACACTTACAGTAGGCTCTGCTTGATGCTTCAAAGTGCCATTAGGATAACGTGTCGTGGTTAAGTGTATTGCATCCCTGCAGTTTTGAGAGAGTCACTAATGGCGCATCAAGACGCACTTAAAGGAACAGTTTGGCAAAAATGCATATCCCTTTGTGAGCCAAGAGCAAGATGAGAAGATTAATACATTTTCCATGTCTGAATGTTAAATATCAAAAGCCAGTTAGCTTAGCTTAAATCCCAAACTGGAAAAAAAGCATGTTTGGCAACGGGTCAATTGATATGTAAATTGTATCTTGATATTGACATCCAATACACAGACTTATGCATTTACACCTGAATTATTGAGGGCTCTCATTATCCTGATTAATCCTGTATTCTAATCGCTTCAGTCATGCAGGGCTTGCAGACGAGTCTGCTTATTGACTTGTTTGTACCTGTTTTTGTGAGGGGAAATTTGCCTGTGACTGCTACCATCTTAGCTTTTTGCAAGGCCTGCTTGAGTAGTCAGGGAGAGGGAGTTGGGAAAGCTTTTACCTTGAAAGGATCAGTGTCCCTTTCACCTTCCTCCTTTTGGATTGCATTTATACCCGGCTTAACCTTTGGGCTTGAACTCATCCAGATGTGTGCAATTAATGCTTGCACTACCATGCGTTATTCCCCATCCTGATCAAATATCCAGAATGCACACTAATGCAAAGTGTTGTCAATTCTGCTTTGGGCTTTTGTGCAAAGCACAACAAAAATGTTGTTTTTTTGGAGCGATCGCAGATTTTGCGACGATATAAAGGAGCTGGATTGAGCAATTCCGGTATTTGTCCTAAACACAGGCGTGTAGCAGTATCAATCTTGTCATCTTACTCGGCAAAAAAATAAGCATATTTTGAAAATTGCTGACCTTCAAGATCTTGGGGGAACCGACATTTGTCCGGTGGACAGAGGTACTCCCTCCCTTCAGTGTGTCAGCCTCATGAATTACGGCAATAAACGAAAAGTGAAGGTTCAGGCAAGTCCCAAATGCGTAATTTCGCAACAACGCTTTGGGACACACACACACACTGATCTCTGGCGCGGGTCTCTCTCGTGATTGAAAGTCCTGCGATTGACCCCTCCACCTGCTGTCCAGCCCACCACGGAATACTAGCGTTGCCTGTTTTTTAGTTCTTCTGCGAGTCACACATGCAGCCTCCCGGATGCAATGTAAAAAAAAACTCCTGTAAACAATCTATGACGCAAGAAGAGACCGAGCACAAGGCATCCGGGTGTAATTTGTTTGATAAATAAAGTACGGATCACATCAATGGGACAGGCCAGTTCACTAAGTGACTGAATCTCCACAGACTGCTGTGCACCAGCGTCTCTTTCTTCCTCTGATGCCTCGAATAAACCAAATACGCAGCATCTGTAGACTTTAAGTGGTTCACGGAAGTACTTCCACATTTAAGATGACTCTAGATATTATAAGATTCTAGTCACTGCTTGTTCGACTGGCTTCTGCACCATACGCATGAGTCATCAGAAGCACAACAGGGCAGAATGGGAAGGAGAGTTTTTATCTATCCTCTCCTAAAATGACTGAGGAAAGAGAGTAAGAGGAGCTGATTCATGTCCCCTTTGTTGCCTCTTGTTTCTCTTACATTCATCAGAGGAGGGCTGTGTGAATTAGAATGGTGTGTAGAGCAGCTGCAGATGTGAGACACTATTCAAGTATTCGAGTATCAAGTCAAGCAAATTCAGGACTTTTATCTTCTTTGATTATGTCAAAGGCATAGGCAAAGGCATCTGTGGCATCATATGCCACAGATATCCACTATCAAGTCGAGGGGCAGGCTTTTTTTTCCCCTTCCTCTCAGCATATTTTCAATGAGACTCCCAAGAGAAGCAGGCAAAGGAAACAATGCTTAAACTGCATCTTACACAAAATGTAGTCTGAAAGCCTATGTCCTGCCCTTACCAGTGCAGAGCAAATACAAATTGTCTTTCATCTGTGTCGATTTAAGTATTTTTTGTAGAGATATTTTTTTCAAAATACTTACTGTACTTAAATCTATATGAAAGACCTTCATTAGGGAAGGCAGATTATCCTTAAAGTAATATATTTCAACACAAGGACACAGCTATATTAAATGCCTTTATTCATACGTTCAATTGTATAAAAGTCTATGAGGAAATTATTCTAATTCTCCCTTCATTTATTATGTCAGTAAACATTGCAAACATTTATTTATGCTCCCAATCGCTAGTTTCTACAGCATGAGGTCCTTTTAGTATATTATGGTCCCGCTGGGATTCGAATCAACTATAAAGCAACGTATCCTTTGAGGAGTTGCAACCTTATGACTGGAAAGTCACTACCTTCTTTAAACACTACTGGTTGTTTATGGTGTCTTTAAGTCGCTCCCCCACAGGGAGACTTATTGTAACGGATAGTTTAACACTGATTTTTACACTGAACCCTTGGAGCTACAGTGGCTCTGCCTGGAGTAGTTTTTCATTGGCAATTTAACTTTCACCACAGCAGCAGTATTTCTGCTTTATTCAGTAGATTTCCTTCCTTGTGACTGCACTTCTCCACTAATTCTAGAAAAAGAGCTTCACCATCCTTAAACAACAACGCACACACACACACACACAGTAGCAATGCAGTAAATCTATAGACCCTCTTTGTCTCAATTAGCTTTCTTTTTAATAGCTTGTCGCTACTAGCATGTTTTCGGGTAAAAGGTTGATTTACTGCATAAGTGTTCATCTGAACAATAAGATGGCACTAACGGCGCAGTGGTTGTGGAGATAAATTGGCATATGCTGTTTGTGCTTTCTGGCATTGTGCCTTCAATGCTCGAGCGCACTAAAAAAGTTGGCAGGGTAAAGGTATACAATCTTAGTTCCCTCCTGATTTCTTGTCATCGACCCTCAACCGAAGATGACGCAAATTAAGAAAGCCAAGGTTTTATACACAACTGTAATTTCCACTGTCGTGTTGGACCTTGGTGATTAGTTTACCCGTCTCAACTGTAGAGTGGTGGTGCTGATCTGAATTCAAATCTGTCCTGATATAGAGAAGGTAGAAATAGCCTTGCCAGTCACAAGAGTGTCCCGGCCAATGTCAGTATATTATCAACGCAAATACTGCCTGTGTGCAGACAGACAATCAATAAAACTTCACGAGGCTCCCACAAGGGCGAGTTTCCTGCATGGACCATGTTTGTTATTCATTTGGAGCCTCCCCGTTAGGGCCACAAAGCATGAACGTAGTGAATTGACGAGAGAAGAACGGCAAAGCAGCAACAAAAACTCATACCTGCGGTGAAGTTGTAGCTCGCCGAAAACCCCACCGCCTCCAGTTCACCGTCCGTAACAAATTTTATCCACAGATATCGGCCGCTACTCCTGATGTAAGGCGGCCTGTGCTGACCGCAGTACCGTCCCAGTATCGGGGAGAAGCCAAACGGTCCATCCCGTACCTCGATGTTGTCAAATTTACATTCCCAGGAGGACTCGATCGAATAATTCTCATCAAAGTGTAGATCGATGCATTGCCTCGGGGGTGCTGGAAAACAATGCAAATAATTACCGTCCAGCACACAGGATTGAGTGAAATATTAGTCAAGTCGTTCATTGATGAAGGTTCAACTTGTTTCATTATCAGCCACGGCCACGCGCTAAATACCTCAACACTGGTTGTTAATCAATTTATCTCTAAAACACCTGACCTGCGATAGTTAATGTCCTCATCAGTCACTTAGGTGATTGTATTGCCTGGCTTATCAGTACTGAACATTCAAATAACCCCTCCTGATGTGAAAAAGAAAAAACACTGTCTAATAAACCAACAGATCACCCTTTTGCTGTAGCTTTAAACCACATTGCTTCTTTAAATGAGAATATTTACCTTCAAGGATGTAAACACACTCTGTGTCTGGGGGGTATTTGTTTGGGTGATTGGGAGAAGTGAAGATGCCTCCTTCTGGTTCTTTCACCCACGTTCCACATTGACCAGCAGGCTTCACTCCAGAGTTGTTCTTCACTAAAGATACATAAAGCAAATAGAAAAGAAGAAAAAAAAGAAGTGAAAGATCATTGCTTTGAAGAGGGGATTTTTAGGGATTTAAGACACACAGCTTTGGTGATGGGGATTACCTGATGTATCCTTCCTTGTTGCTCCAGACAACCCAAGAATGAGAAGACTTGCAACAACTGTAAGAACAGAATGAAAAATGCATTTTGACTGAAGACTGGGAAATCCACTTACGATATTTCTTTTCTTTTGTTTTGAGCTTGATTTCAGGTGGGGGGGGGGGGGGTTTCAGGTTTTAATTAATATGTACTGCACATCAGCAACATGGTAATTAAACCTGTGTCTGACTGTGGCCATATATAGTCCCCGAACAGCAGACTTCCCTAAGATGATCGCAATAACAGGTCATTATTGGCATCCTATCAAGTATGATCATTTGTAATTAAAAATAACATATGACTCATGTGTCAACTATAAATGTTAACCCCCCTCCCCCCGAAAAAAGAAAATTAATTAATTATGATTACAAACTAAGATATGATGCAAACGATGGATGATGGAAAATGATTCCAAAAATTAATTAATTATGATAAATATAAATATTTTGTTACGAAAAAACTTGATAATAAATATCGATAAATCGAAAAAAGGACCAAACTATTACCTACAACCCCGCCAACAACTTATAGACTGACCTTCAACATCGAGCTTACAGGTTGCAGATTGTCTGCATCACCTCGTGATTTTTGATCTATTCACACCGTGCTTGTATGCTGAGTTGAATTCAGTGGCCTCCAATTAAAGGGTAAGTACACTTGTCTTTCGTTCGGGCAGAAGCATGCAATAAAGCGCTTTGGTCAAGTGTGCTTCAGCTGATGAACATGGATTCCTTACCGTGATGGAAGCTGTGCCCATGTACCATGTCTGTTCCTTTCACAAACGGCTTCAGACTGAACAAATTCCATTTAGATTTGGGAATACTTAAAGAGAAAAAAAAGATTGAGCTGAGAGTTTCTAAAAATTCACTCCGGGAAACCGCTCATGTCACGCAATCTTTCGGTGAAACAAAACAAGCAAACGTACTCCTCAATTAAAATCTACAGAGGAAAAACAAAATATCCTTCGCAGATTGAACTAATCACCAGTTTCATATAAAACCAAAAACAGTTCTAAACACTCGCCCGATTTCCATCCAAGCGTTTCCGATACCCTTTGGTGCTTTTGATGCACTGAAAGGATTAATAGTCCCGTCATCAGCCCTTCTCTAATCGCTCCACCTTTGCAATCTTCTTTGGGAAAATATCAGGGACGGCGTTTGGTCCTCTTTGGTCCCTTTATCAGGAGAGGGGACCCTTCGGGGGCATGTACAACCATGCAACACTCATCTCTGCAGCGTTTCCTTCACTCCTTTGCGGTGCGTAAAATCCCTCGGGAAACACCGGGTAGGCAAATAGACACAGAATTAAGTGGGTTGGCTTTTGTGTTCCATTTGTCTCTTCTGGTCCCAAAAGCTGTCGGTGTTGCTCCCAGTGAATCCCTCTGCCTTCGCTTCGGTACAAACTAGAGTCCCCGCAGCCAGCAGGAGTTAATGTGCGATCTCCCTCCTCCTTTCCCCCTTCATTCAACACCGCCGCTCGTCCAATGCGCCACAGTCCCCACGCACTCCTGAGGCACGCATTGGAAACTTCTCCCGGACACGACTTCAGCCGTGCGCGCAAGCTCACAGACAGAGAGAGAGCGAGAGGAAGAGGGAGAAAGAAAGAAAGAGAGAGAGCGGGCAGAGAACGGAACGCGAACGCGTGTGCGCTTGAACCATATGAGCACGTGCCGCAGGATTCATTTCGGTTCGTGGGGATCTTTTGCGCGATGGCACATCGAGGCAATGAGATACAAAATGGAATAAACAAGCAGAAGGACAAAGATTTCAGAGAGGGAGAGTTTCATCAGATAAAACACGGAAAATAATTATGTTTCCAAAAAAAGTGTTGCTTTAAGTAGAAGCATCAAAGCACGTCCCGCGTTTGCTCATCCGGCGGGCAGAGCTTTGTCTTTGGTTGAAGCCCATGATTATGTCGTTGGCAACATTGCATGCAACAAAAGTGCCAAACACTTCATGTCATGCGTCAAGGCTACTCAAAGGTTTCTTTTCCAGCAGCAACAGATCTACTGGGATGAACAGAGAGGTTATGGGCACGTGCAATGATCTCATTGTGCAAGGACCAGCATGTTCTTTACCCTGAGACATACGTCTGATCATCATGAGACACTGGGGGAGCCTTCTGGACACCAGACATGTCACACGTCACACAGATGTGACAGGCGAGAGACAGGTTGCAGTGGCGGACATATAGAGGCAAACAAAGAATCACACTCACTTTCGCACCAATTTAGAGTCACCAGTTCCTTAACCCCCGGAGAATGCCTGAGGACCGTGGGAAGAAGCCGGGGAGAACATGCAAACGCAGAAAGGCCGTGGGGTGGTTTCCAGACCTTCCTGCTATGAGGAACCACCACACCGTTGTTCCGCCCAGGAAAGTAAAGTGAAGAAGGCTTTTCTTTTTCATCAGAAAGCCAAAGGGAAACAGACCCGCTGCCTTCCTGAGGTGTGAGGGTACGAGGTGTATGAACGGTGTGGCCGCTGTCGCACCTGATGACAGAGCTGATCAGAGGGTGCCAAGGGACAAGTCAGGGGCTCAGGCTCCAAAAATAGTCCTGGCACCCTGTAGACAATATCCATCTTCAGATACTCCTGCTTGCGGAAGCAATCTTGGATTCAGTCCCCCATTAGTTGATGTTCTGTTTATACACATTTTACTATTTTAGTAATATTTCTATTCCTTCAGTGTATTTTTTATCTTTCATACTTGGTTACTGGTTGCAGGCTACCAAACATTGTCATTGTATCACGACAATGACAATAAAAAATCTCCTCATCCCTTTTCCTTCCTTCCTTATGCGACTTGTTATAAGTTGGATAATTTGGACCAGCTCCTGCTAATGAACCACCCTTGTCTAATGACTCGTCTCTCTCCTCCTGTTTATTCTTTTTTAAGTCCTCTTGAGATTTCTCAGATATAGAGCCACTACTGTCTCTAAAGTCCTCTTAATTACATCCCGTCCCAAAGATTGACCAGTTATCACTACTCTGAAAGTGCTTGGTTTTCACGCAATGCAGGCTAGAGGGGCCGTGGTGACTTCCAGAATACATGTGGGAGAAGGAAATCTCAGAAGCATTTTGAACTAATCTGTCATACAGAGTGATATAATGGACTTGGGATTTAGGACCCCCCAACACGAGAAGCGAAGCTTAGCCAGTAACTTTCTTACTGTACAATCAACTCACCAACACTGCGCCCACAGCGTCCCACGACTCACGCTGACTTCTCCCCAATTCCTGGAACACGGCAAGACTGAAAAATATTTAAAATGCCAATTTCTCCTCCTAAAGCCTGCTACGACTCTCTCAGTCTGAAGGGACGTTACAATGCAGTGCCCAAAGCTCGTTATTGATCAACAGTGGTGCTGTTTATGTCCAACTACGTTAAGAACACAGCACAACACGTTTCAATAAACTCTGTGATTAAACAGGGGAGCTATATGGGAATTATTCAAATGAGGCTTATCTGGCCCCACTGTGTGCCACAGTAGCCCTGATGAATTTAACAGAAGTCTCTAGTTTAGCTCTCCTCCGTGTATAAGCTGTCGCTGTGCTCTGAATGGCACCAATGCAGTGGAAGCATCTTAAGAGAATTAATTCAGTCAACGGCAGCCTCAAAGTCAAATCGTTTGGCTGGCGATGGCCCATTGTTGCTACTCCAGCCTCACGTACCCGACATCTGCAGCACACGGCCCTATACAGGTTCAGGCAGACACATCTATCAACACATGCAATACGGTTTCAGTTGAGCTACATCTCGTGATTGCTCGCTGTCAAGCTTCAGTTTAATAATTTCCACAGTTTTCTCGGCTTGTTTTCACGAACATCAAGCCTCGTAAGCTTCACTTAAAAATGCAAGAGAGCAGTCACAACAAGTATATCATCCTTACTTCTTGTTTGCAAACTGTTCATTTGGCTCAGACCAGATGAGTAAATTGGGCATTCAACTGCTACTCTGTTTTATTCTAATGTAGCTGCCAGTACTGTTTCTTTTTGTCAGTCGTAAGTGACAGCTAAAGCTGATGAACACTTAGTCTAATGCAGCCCGTCCGGTGGGACTCAAATGAACCTTATTAGTGATGCATTGAGCACACACATTTATTTGTCATTCAATGTGCTTTGTAGTTCGAAAAGCAAGACCCAGTTACAAGAAAAAGTTGCAGCCACCACGGTTCAATTTTAAGCTTTATGCTACATTAGCTGCTGGGTCTCTGGTGATAGACTGCCTTTATCCTGGCCCAGCACCTGGAGGCAGTGGGGAAATAATTCCATCAGATGATGCCTCGCAAACTATGTGGTTTTATTTTGGTTGAGGTGCCAATGTTACTCTGCGATGCAGCACTCAATTACTCAATTACATACACAGATCTATCTGCTTTCGTGCAAAATGACACGTGGTTGAAAAGAACAACACTTCCAAATACAATTCTTAGAGTAAAACAAACTAATGTCTGATTTGTTTTATTTAATTCAATACCTCCAAAGACTGAAAATGCCCAGAAAAACAAGGAATTTGAAAAAAGATATTCTGCTGAAGTTAATAATCAGAACCGTCTTCAATCAAAAGACATGAACATTTATACATAGAGATTGTAATGAACACTAAACAACAAAGGTGCAATTAGTGCTTCATTCCTCTCTTCTCTTAAAGACACATTGACACAAACAGCCCCTTTATGTTGTATGTTACACGGCCCGTGTATGTTAGAACATCCAGAAGGTCAAATGTGCTTTGTTCCTTATGCACACGGTTATTCGCGGAGGCAGACGACATGCCCTTCAGTGGCGAATACATAATGCAAGGATACACAATACAGGTTTGCAGTCAATAGAAAACTTATTAATGGACTTATCTCTGGTTTGAAAACACATTCAGTAAAACAAATCTATGAGTTGGCCAGTGTTTCTGACTCGATGAATAAAATCATTTTTTTGCTGAATAAACTCAAATTTTGTTTCTATCCATTCAGCAATTAATCTCCGCCCAAGAGGGGCTGCTGCACCGTCTATGACTCTAAACGCTGAATTGCGACGCATGGTCTGCGGATAGTGATAGTATGGCGAGCAGCTATATGAGAGGGCATTTTTCAAGCATTGTTCAGCAGATATGTATATTTTTTGTACATCACTTTGTCCTTCTTTCCATATAATGAGGAAGCTGATATCCCCTCTGCAATCTCTTCTGTGTATGAAGTCACCAGCCCCTGAGTTAAGATGACCGTGTAATTGGTCACTTGACCTCGCTGGCCACTTGGTAGGAGTGCCATAGAGCCTGTGGAGTGACACTCTCTTGGCCATAACACCTCTGATGGAGAAATGTCATACCGAAATAGATTCTTTAGGGTAGAGAGCGAGAATCAATATTGCTTAAGCGTTAAGTACTATAAAGCGTATGTGTATATAGACCTTTATTTATAGCAGAAGGAGACGCTGAGAAGCGGAGAGAATAGTCATATATATATTGGCCATTATTGTATTTGTGTACATTTCATTGAGTAAACTGCAGTCAACGATGTGCTTTCGAAAAATGTCACAGTGAACCAGTGTACTCACTTTTGGGGCAGGAAGGCGATTGTGGTGGCGAGGAATGAAATTCCGCTGGGTAATTCCTTTCAACACCTTGGGACATACAAACCGCACAAACTACGCACAATTTGAAGTTATGCAACATAACTTGCCTTTCCGACAAGAGCTTTCTTTTCTGTGTTAGAAGCTGTGTGATGGGAAGACGTCCGAACCAACTCATTGACATGTGAGGGGAAGTCATTGGTGTGTGACGAATTCAGTTTTCTGGGGCACAGGGCAGCAGTTAATGTCTATAATAGAAGAAATGATTTTGTCCAAGTGAAAGAGGAAATTTTCACTTTGAAGTTTGATCTCACAAGTTGTATTTTGTAGAGGGAGTCCATCTGCGCCCAAACAGCAGAAGCACTGAGGGGAAAAGACTATGTATCCATCAGTATCAATAGTAGTGTGCGTACAACATGAATTACACAAGATGAGTGGAATCAAAAATCTTCCCCAACTCTTTATTGTTTACACCAACACTGACCCCTTACATTGAGATTTACCATACATGTGTTTTGCCAAAAAAGTAAATAATATAAGTAATGAGTTGGCCTATAATGGAAGCAACCAAATAAGGTTGTAAAATGACATAATCCAGGTGGCCTACAGTCAAAAGGAAACTGTGTCGCTATTTATGAAAGTATTCCAACAGTCAAAGATCAACATTAAGTCCCACATAAATTACATCACTTATTCTTTTAAATATACAAATCCACAAGAGTCAGAAGAATCTGGACCTTGAGTCTGAAATGAAGCTTGATTAATTAACAGAGTAAAAGTGAATACAGTTTAATGTACAGCAATTAACTCATAGTTATTCTTGTACGTAGCCTCAGGCAGAGTAGCCTAATCTTGCAAGAATTGTTGACAGTAAACTGATGACTTAAGAGATGAAGCCCCAGGAAATAGATTTGTCGGGTATATGATAGTTGTCTACACATGTCTGTTTGGTCAAAGATCTGACAAAATGGTGAATGCAACCATTCACGCTTTTGGACCAGTGGAACGATTTATTACAGCCCCAAGGAA